TCTGCCCACTACTTTATTGTCTTGGTCAACAAGAATGGTATATGCCATGGAACTCTGCATTTGCAAAATCAACAACATGAATTTGGTAAAGATGAACCTCTGATGGTACGGAGTTCTTAGCTGTTGGTGGTTGTCATGGTCCCTTTGGTGTTTGGTTGCCAACTGGGCCTTTAGCTGATAAGATGTGGCTGCAGGCAGAGTTTGCGTACAAAGACCCCTTTCCCGATATAGTTAGCTGCTTAGCTATTTTCAATAAATTGTGATTTTCTTTGTTATGTGTAATAGTACTATACCACCAATATAGTGGCAAATACATGGTAAATTAAAGCTAATGCCACAAAGTCCAGTGTTTTTTTTATTGAAGGAGGTGTCTTTAATGAATGAGAAAGGGTCATTATTGACAAGCCCCATACGGTTTGAGAAAGGGTCATTATTGACAACCCCAATATTGAAAAAGGTAAGATAATGAGGTAATTTGCTCTGCTAATTGGTAAAGTGTGGAAAAACCTGTACATCTAGACTTCTATATTAAGGATGTGCATCCAGGGACGTAACATGTTGACTGTAGACCCCAAAGCACTATAGCAAACCCTCACTCTAGAGACTTTGAAGCCCTCTTTTGGCCCATACACTACAGGCAAATAATATGTTGTTTGTACAACCTTTAGCTTCAAAATCTTGTTTTTTTTGATGGTTTTGCAGTATAAAGAAAAATTGCAATCTTTCCTTATGCTAGCAATTTTTTCTTACACTGCAAAACCATCAATAAAGATGAGATTCTGAAGCTAAAAGGTGTGTGGACAACATATCCCTTATCAGTATGCTGTGGCACCATCCACCAGTGATTCAAGCACCCAACTAAAATGGGAACATCGGGATTGTGTGCGAAGAATATATAACTTTATATAAGAATATATAACCACAAGGCACTACAAGCAGACAGCACTATAAAAGCATGAGTACAGTGACTCTCTTCTACTCTCTTCTACTACGACTCTTCTACTATTGATGAATTCATCGTTAGAGTATATAGGGACTGCATAAAAATTAAGTCATGTTTTGCCCATGACAGGCAAAAGAACAGGTTTACTTTAATGTCCTCTTCCCTAAATGCACATGCTTACCTTTCCGTCACTCGGGTGCTGCTATATTCAGTTGCTAGGAATGAAAAAAGACATAGCTGTCTAAGCACTGAGGTGCTCCTGTCAGAGTAATGATCCACCCCCATCTGGCAGACCTGGATGACTCACCAAAGCACCAATGATGTCAAATGAATTGAGTCACATACTTTTCCATAACCAGAAGTATTTACTTAACTCCTGGTGACTGAACAGGTATTTTCCATACCTTCTCCGGCCAGCTTCCTGGAGCTCCTTCACTGCTAAAGCCAATGCCAATCCTCAGCTCACTTCACAGCTTCCTGTTTCCCAGTGACAAAGCTGGACCTTAGCAACTGCACACATCAATTTATAACTTGCTATTAAATAATGTACACATGGAAGGGCTTTGCATAGTACAAACACATACATTTCCCAGCACACTACTGGCCATGGTGTCCTGTGTTCTGACAGTGGCTTCGGGCATCCTGTTGCCAGGTAATATTTGCAGCTCAGTCCTCCCTGCTTGCCTCCCATTGGCCTGTGCTCGTTAGTGCCTGATTTTCACCTCAAAAGCCCTGCACGGGTCTTTTGATCACCTCCTATGCCTGCTTCTTGGACTGACCTAGCCTGTCTCTGACCTTGTCTCTGCCTGCTGCCTGGGACTACCACTTGTCAGTGTGCTGATCATGTCTCTGCCCACTGCCTGGACTGACCCATCAAAGCACTCCTGCTGAGGCACCAGTCCCAGCAGATCCCATCCTCAGCAGACATCAGTATCTCTAGAACCAAGAGTATTCTTTGTTTTTCTGTTGCTTAGCCTCTTGTGATATCAGGCTGGAGAATATAGCATCAAGTAACAAGTCCTTGATCCAACCAAGTACTGGTAACTTGCTTGCCTTAACGGAAGGAGGACTACTATAGGTGAATTTTTAGCCAGCTATATTCTCTGACCTCTTGTATAGGAGTGAGCATTACAAAAGGTGAGTATGTGATGCTCATGAAAGAGGTCTTTAGACAAACCCATTGGTTTGCCCTGAATGGGAAATGTACGGGTTTGATTTAAAGCATCGACTTGAACTTATCTTTTAGTAAGATTTACACCTATACAAATTTTTTATAGCAGAAATTCAGAGCAAATATAAGATATATCATGCTAGTGCAATTTAAAGTTTATATCTGCAATATTACTCTAATTATAGATTAAAATATTTGTTAATGCAATTAATCATAAAACAAACTGAGGAATAATGAGCAGCGTTCTATTTTGGGAATTGGGCCAAATAATTATAAAAACAATATCATGAAATGATAGCTAAATGCTCTCACAATTTAGAATCCCTAAAGAATATATACACATCAACGAGGAAATAAATTCAGTGTGTGCTTGTACCTGAGATCATTTTTGTATCAGGTAATGGGGAATTGTATTTTGGAAACTGAAGATAAATAATGTATCAATTCTCATTATGGTTTGATGTAGATATCTGATTATATTAAAAATACTTATTTAACATATTTTGAAAAAAGTAATATATAAATGTTTTTCTGTTTTTTTCAGAAATATACAAATCATGCTAAACGTTACATTTTAATTGGATTTAAAATGTTCAGAACCTTTCTGTAAATTTGAAAACCCTACATACTTTCTTCTTAGGTCTGTATTTCTTATAAAAACAGAAATCGTTATTTATGCTAACAATGATAAAATAACTACAGTGAAAATATTGGTGATCTTTATAACATGTCACAAACTACCAACGCATAGGAAACTGATGCCAAACCTCCATGCTATATTTATTCAATAGCAGTGGCATGATAAATGTTGAGCTATCCTTGTGCTTTCACTGCTCATCATGAATTGGTGTCCAGGTCTAAATCTACAGTAAGAATTTTGAAAAAAAAAACATTTAACACGGTGTTGGTAAGGTACAGTGAGACAGATTTACTGTACTGAAGGCAAATAGGCTGTTCAGATTGTAAGGAAATTTGAACTTAGCAGGGTAAGTTTTCCTTAGCTTAGCAAATGTGGTGAAACTTCACTTTGTAAAGAATACCCAATTATGTGCAAGGAAAATAAAAAAAAACAGCATTTTTTCTCAAACATAATTGGGTGATGAAAGTCAGCAGAGCCTCCCCTCATTCACTAAACTAAGGGAAAACTTCCCTTGCAACAGTCTATTTGCCTTTAGTAAATCAACCCCTGTGCTTCATAAAATGCTTGAAAAAAGGTACCTGAATGCATTTTTAAGATTTACCGTATTTTGCGCTCTATAGGGCGCTCCGGTCCATAGGACGCAGGGATTCTGTGACAGAAGCTGCAGTTCAGTGACCGCTGAGACAGGTGGCGCTGTGATTACTGCGCCACGGTCTCAGTAATCACACAGAGTAGACGAAGAACGACATTCTTCGTCTGCTCAAGGGGGTCTATGGTGAGCTCCTATGCCGTGGTCACTGTCCCCCAGAGGAGCGGTAGACCCCGAAAACCACGGCGGTGGGGGCGGTGCGGACACTCGATTTAATAAAAGTGAACTAATTAGATCACTTGTATTAAACAAGCAGCGGCTCCCACTGTACATTCAGCTCTGCTTGTCAGGAGTAGGGCTGCATGTACAAAAAAACTACTTGCCCACGGCCCGAAACTGCATGTCCCGGGTGTCAGGCGATGGGTATTCACTCCATACGACGCACAGACATTTTTCCCCTCCTTTTGGGGGGAAAAAAGTGTGTCTTATGGAGCGAAAAATATGGTAACTTAAAAGTAAAAGTTTATTGAGACTTTTACACAGAACATATTTCCATGTCTTCATTTCAATTGATGTATTGTGGTGATGAAAGTCAGTTACATTTCTTTTCTTTTTGTGAAGTATCCATTATGCTTCCTTTCACTCTCGCCATAATGGCAAATTGCAAGTTAAAATATTTTGTCTGGCATCTAAGGAAAATCATTTAAAAGTTAACATTCTTCTGGTACCACTACTTGGAATACTTTGTGTTTGTCAACAGTTATTTAACATACTTTGGTTGGAGGTGAGCTAATGAGGGGGCTTCTCTTGCGCCTCTTGACCAACACCCCTGAAAGTGGGGACAGGGAGTATAGGGGCACAGAGTGGAATGCATGCTGGAGTAGAAAGTGGATTCTGTGCAGAGTTTAGGTGTTTAATCCTGCAACTAGAGACAGGTGGCAGCCGGGCCGCATAAAGACCGAAACAGGAATCCGGAGCAAAGTTAAGGGCACAAGCTGAGGTCGGACCAGCCAGGCAGTGAGGTACCAAATCGAAAACCAGTAGCAGGGTTGGGGTCACAAGTCGAGGTTGATAATAGCGGATCAGAGCAGTCAAGGCAGAAGGCAGACTCCAGTAAACAGGCTGATATCACAATAGGCAGGCAGAGATTCAAAGGGAAGGCAAGCCGGGTCATACACAGGAAGCAAGAAGGCAGGTCAGGTCACAGAAAAGCAGGGGGCTAGCTGAAGACCACATAGCAATTTATGCACATTACATGCCCATTTATATAGACCTGCACAATAATGCATGTGCTAAGCTAATTCGTGTGTACCTCCATGCTAATTAATGCACAAGCCGCCACACGTATTCCTGTGCACATACCCGTGCACAAGTTCATGCATGACTGCATGTTAATGCACGTTTGCTTACTGTTTCAAGTACGGGACCATGGGCAACATTCTGAGCTGTGCTGGTTTTCTATAACGTGTCGGACTTTTTTTACAAGTTATGAAAAATGTTTTTTGTTATACACTAACTGCTACTGAGATTGATTTTGTTGCTTTGCTTGTTGGAAAATATTGTATTAAAATCTTAATCAGCGGAAGCTAATTTAAGCTATAAAGTATATAATATATAAAAAATCTCTCAAAGAACCAATAAAATAATTGTGCAAAACATGCAGCCTTCAAAATACATCAAGTTGATGGAGAATAAGACGCTTCAGATTGACTTCTACATTACAGCTTTTCCCACAAATTGGGGGCAGTTGTTTTTGTTATTTGTTACATTTTTACTTCTTTATCTCATTGCTCTCATTTGGAACATGGTCATTGTCTTGGTAACTTTTTTGGATCATCATTTACAAAAGCCAATGTATTTTTTCTTATGTAATCTGTCATCTGTCGATGTATTGTATGTTTCTGTTGCCCTTCCTAAACTGTTAGACATCATCAATACAGGAAATAATAAAGTTTCATTCACAGCTTGTTATACGCAAATGTATTTCTTCACATCTTTGGCCTGCACAGAAATTTGTTTGTTGACCACAATGTCATACGATAGATACACCGCCATCTGCAGACCACTACATTATACTCTGATCATGCACAAGAGAATGTGTCACCTTCTGGTGGCAGGTTGTTGGGTCTTCGGATTTTCAAATTCTCTCTTTATTACAATATTCACCTCCCGTTTAACTTTCTGTGGATCTACAAAACTCAATCAGTTTTTTTGTGAAATTAAAACACTCACTAAATTGTCCTGCGGTGCTAAAAATAAATTTAAAGCTGTGATATTAGTGGAAGCTTTATTTGTGGGATTTTGTCCTTTTGTGCTTATTTTGATGTCCTACACTAAAATCATATCAAATATTCTAAGAATGAAATCTGTGGGCCAAAGGAAGAAAGCGTTCTCCACTTGTACCTCACACGTCACTGTCCTGCTGTTCTTCTATGGGACATTACTCTACATGTACATGGTACCACCATCGGAGAACTCGGAGCAGCTGGACCAGATCTTCTCAGTGTTTTATCTAGCAGTCACTCCCACTATGAACCCTTTGATTTACAGTTTGAGAAATAAGGACATAAATATTGCCATATTAAATATATTTTTGAAGTTAAAGTCATGCATGTAAATAAAAGTAAAAGAATAAGACAAAGGATAACCTGAAAAGATATACAGTACTCACCTTGGTCAAAAAAAAGTTAACCCCAATGAAAGCAAGGCTTGGCGGAGAGAATATATTACTAAGCTGAATCCAGGAAAGGGTTAAATTGGTGGTCACACATTCCAACGCCGAAAAACTGGGCGGGATTACGTTAAAACGTGTGACCATGTCACTGGTCACACATTCTAACGTAGTCACAACCTTTGATAGAACACCGCCATCAAGGGGGTATGGCCAGTACCCAGGTGAGGGGTCTGGGGGTCCTCTTACATGGGTATCAAGGCATGGCAGAGGTGACAGGGGAGGGGTGGAGGAGGCCGGGCCCCAGCAGCAGCAGGTAAGAGGAGGTACAGGGAAAGGGATCCCGACGACCAGACCACCTGGGACCCTGCAGAGCCCACCATAGAGAGTCTCAGGTGGGCTATGCAGGATCAATGGTGTGCTCTGCAGGGTCTCAGGTAAGTCCAGCATGCTACTGCAACATTAGAGACCGCTGGGGGAGGGAGGGGATGCCAGTGTGATCTGCTCCCGCACCCCCCCCCTGTCTTGGGAGGGGGGCCCAAGATAAAATCTTGCACCAGGGCCCTTTGGTTATTAGGTCCGCCACTGGGTTAAGTAATGCACTAGGAGCAACATACCTTAAAGGCGGAAGTTGGCCAGCTGCGTAGGGAAGAGCTACAGAGGTTGCCTCCATTGGTTGGACTAGGAACGAGTTTTGGGTTGGCTCCTTGCATGGGTTTTGGGTAAAATTCCCCAGTTTGCAAACTTGTTGACCAATATTTTGCAGGGTCACTGCCAGAAATAAGAAACAGCCTGTAATGCAGTGCATAGCCATTCCCCCATTCAGCTGAGTTACAAGAAACAATAATTTGAATGAATAACCAAGCCCCTTTCTATAAAAGGTTAGAGAGTTGATAATTCTTAATAGAAATATCTACTGTTGTATTTTATTTATGTTTATGTTTTTTTGGCTCTTTAATTTTGGCACTGGCACATGCCCAACATGGCAGCGCCCAGATTTCCATGCATTTTGTTTGACAATAGCTTGTTTATTAGTTCTACAAATGGACATAATTTAGTAATTAGGTATCCCCCCATAGGATGTAATGGGGTTTACACCGAAATGTGCAAACTTCACACAAGATTTTTAAAACTGCCCACAAACTGAACTCAGAAAGATTTGCTTATTTCTATTAGAGAAAGCAATATCAGACAATTCTACAAAGTGAAAAGTTGTCCCATCTGCCCACCTCTTTTTTTGTCTTGGTCAGAGAGGAAGTCATTCACCACCTGCAGCAAAACTGACATTTCTAAAAAAAAAAATTACATTTTTTTTTTCTCTTAAAGTGTGCAGTTCCCCCTCCCCAAACAATACCAGACCCTTTAGGTCTGGTAGAAATGTTAGGAGGGACCAATTTTTTTTAAAAAACTGTGTAGGGTTCCTCCTAAAAGTCATACCAGGCCTTTAAGTTCTGGTAGGAATATTAAGGAGGGACCCCATGTACAAAAAACAAAAAAAGAAGTGTGTGGGGTTCCCCCTAAAAGTCATACCAGGCCCTTAAGGTCTGGTAGGAATATTTAGGAGGGACCCCATGTAACAAAAACAAAAAAAAGTGTGTGGGGTTCCCCCTTAAAGTCCCTACCAGGCCCTTAAGGTCTGGTAGGAATTTTAAGGAGGAACCCCACCCCCAAAAATGGGGGGGAAAACATGGGATCCCCTAAAATTCCATACCGGACCCTTGATCCAAGCATAGGCCTGGCAGGGCCGGAAAGGAGGGGGACGAGTGAGCACCCCCCCTCCCTCCCACACCAGGCCACATGCCCTTGGCACTGGGACGGTGTTCCCGTACCGATGGGGACAAGGGCCTCCCCAAAACCCTGACCCGGTGGTTGTGGGGGTCTGTGGGCAAGGGGGGTTATTTGCATCGGGGTACCCCTTTAATTAAGCGGGCACCCAGATGTCGCCCCCCTCCCTTGTGAATGAGTAAGGGGTACTTGTACCCCTACCCATTCACTAAAGGGTTAAATGAAATAGTTATTAAAAAGTCCAGACTTTTGATAAAATCCTTTATTTGGAAAAAAAAACAAAAGACATGTTTTTGACAAGTTTTTTATTTTAAAAAAAAATGGATCCACCGACGTAATCCAGGGTCAATCACGGTGTCCAGCATTGCCCACGACGACAACAAAATAAAAAATAAAACAAATATAAAGAGAAATAATTTTTTTCAAAAACGCTGTCCGCTCCCGCTGCATAATGTAACCCTACCCATTCACTAAAGGGTTAAATAAAATAGTTATTAAAAAGTCCAGACTTTTGATAAAATCCTTTATTTGGAAAAAAAAACAAAAGACATGTTTTTGACAAGTTTTTTATTTTAAAAAAAAATGGATCCACCGACGTAATCCAGGGTCAATCACGGCGTCCAGGGTGGTCCACGACGACAACAAAATAAAACAATAAAAATTAAAGAAAAATATTTTTTTTTCGTTTGGCGAACGCTCGAACTGGCGATGTTCGGATCGTACACTCGGCTCATCCCTACTCATCATCATTGTTAAATATTTTAGTTTGATATAAGAGCTAAGGTGGTAAATTGAACCCAATGCCACAAAGCCCAGTGTATAGTCCAGTAAATAAAGATGTTTAATGTTTCCAGAATTCTCAGTTTATGTTTGCACATTACTACACACCCTTACACATTGCTACCCAAATTTATAGTTTGAGATATGATTTGCTATGTATGCGTTAACACCAACAAGTATTTAGTTATGAGGATTCAAGCACAGGATTTTTGAGCTCACCAAATAACAGAAAATGTATTGGTACATAGTGATAAGGACTACATACAGTGAACCAATAATCTATGTATCTACCAAACACAAAAAGGAAAGAGTTAAACTTGCAAAGACAGTGGAATATACAGTATAGTCACACATAAATAAGTACTTTTAGGGTATACCTGAGTATATACCAGTTAATTATCACATGAGAACTCCATTCTGGTAATCCTAAAGACTAATTTTTCCTTCATAGTTTGGACTGATAAAGAACTTGCTTCTGTAGTGCTCCCCCTGACCCACAGAGGCATGAGGTGGACCTCCAAAGGAAGGCCGACATTACACTCTCAGGGGCAGATCCTTAGCCAGAGAAGGGACATGTGATTGACAAATTGGGCACCAGTCACTTTAAGTGCCTTTTTAAAATGCTTCATTGAGAGCAGCATAACTGGGAGAGAGGGTACAGGGTTTTCAGATAATTAACAGGTAATTATACAGGTATACCCTAAAAGCACTTATTTATGTAATAAATAAATATTTATAT